GGACGGTTGGCGGTGGACAGTGGATGGTATGTGGTGGGCGGTAGGCAGTGGACGGTTGGCGGTAGCCGGTAGGCAGTGGATGGTGGGCGGTAGACGGTGGACGGTGAGTATTGGATGGTGGACGGTGAACACTGGGCGCAGTGGGCGGTAACCACTGGGCGGTGTACCACGGGACGGTGTAAGTACGGTGGGCGGTGGGCCGGCGTGCCCCGCTCTCCGCCACTGCTCTCGGACCGATCGATGGTCGGGGACGTGCCGGCGTGGCGGCCCGTCGAGCAGCCGCCGCGGCTCTGCGGCGCTCCGGCCGGCCGGCGGGGACACAGTCCGGCTGGCTCTATTGAGCGCCGCCGGCCGCCCTCTCACCTGGCTCACCTGCCACTCCGCCACTCTCCCACTCTGCCCGACCCGGCCCACTCCTCCCGCTCTGCCCAGCCCCCAGCAGGAAGTGCAGCGCGGCACCCACCGAGCAAGCAGAGGGATCAGGGCGACCGGCAGGCCATTCTTCTGCATCAGCGCCGCTTTAATATTTTACGAACGCAGCCAATCGCAAACCATTGAATCATATTAGCACGTTGTGTGGTCTGTTGCGCCATGTCATTATGTTCTGCAGAGGAGAGGGGCCAGGGTCATTTGGTCAACGCGAATGCCCTTGCTCGCTGGAACTATGAGAAGTAGGCATTAGTGTCGTACTTACGGGTCATAAGTCATGCTTAGAAGATCATTCTGAATCATTTTACACCTAGTAGCTTTGAAGCCTTCCATTTAAGTATCTACTATACATATTGCAATGTCATATAATGAACAGGTCAACACGTCATGAAGCAAGTTGTTTGCTTACCAGACTCCGCTTTAATGTATCAGAAGAGAGCTTATTGTATTGGTCAAGCCCATCCATTTATTCCTGTGGACAAAAACTACACAGAATAAGCAATAGCCAATCCTTGCATCTGATGTGACAACGCTTGTGCAATGACACTGCACAATGCATAGGCAATAAGCATATAGTGGAGCGACTCTAAAAGTTAGGGCAGTGCTCCAATTAGTCGCCCAGTACAGCTAATGAATGCTTTTTCTTTCATCCGACCCACCATCAGGCCTAAACTACGCCGGCGAGCGCACGGACCTCTTTTCGTGGTGTTCAATGAGGATCATTTGTGACACGAGCGCTTCTTATTGTGTCAGCGGACACCGATGTATTTCGTGGTCTCGCGGTAGACAGGGAGATTTAAACACACATTCAGTGGGCCAGGTATTCCATTTTTATGGTTCCACTAGAACAAAGCGTCGACGGAATTGGAGGCATGTATCAACGAATGCGGCAGCAAGGTTACGTGTAAACGAGTAGAGAACATGAAAAGGAATGCATCCGCAACAGCGGAAACATTTTCGTCTAATATGCTTTGAGAGGCGTCGATCATCGATGTCGCTTACTTGGCATAAACACTTGTAGCTGCCGCTCATAAGCAGCAGCCGCTCGTAAGCAGACACATGCAACACGGTATACTCGTAGTTCGTACCTAGGTAGAACGAACAATGAAGTTTGCGAATACCTAATGGTCATTGGTCGCCATGTGCATTTATATGTTGTTGCATATATGTAGCGTAACGAAATGAGGTAAATGAGGAGCTCAACATCTCTCATTTTAAAAGGGTCGGGTCAATCATATTAACCGCTTTCCCGCATATTTTTGCGTTATTTTGGCATGCCCCAAGTGATGGGGGAATTATGAAAGACAAGAATCATTTTGCATAGATATGCGCTATTGTAATATGTATCTGTGCTGCTGTTCTATATGTGTTTTGGACTAGCGAAACCTCTGAAGCTGCAGCGGAGTTTTCGACGGTAGCGGCGCATAGGCTTCTCAGACTTCACTGTTCCCCGGCCCCCGGGCCTATCGAGCGCCTCTCATTGCTCAATCAGTGGTCCAATTCCGGCCTCTCTTTTCAGTCAGGATTAGACAAAGAAGCCCACAATCTCCCGATGCAAAAGCGTGAGAAAGTTCCACCGGCTCGAAATCAAACTCAATCTGGGCTAAGGAAATGTGTGAGGGTCATTTTGCAGAGCTGCGGAAGGCTCGCGGGCGCTCCATTGACCCAGGGTCCTGATGGGGCGGCGATCCCAGGAGGAACGCCGGCTCTTTTTCTTCGCCCCTCCCCTCAGCTGTTGTTATTGGATACCTCCGAGCCAGCAAACGGCGTCGGTGGGGCCCGTTGGATTGAACGAGTGTGACAGATTAAGCCATCACTGAGAACACAGCGCCATCAGCGCGGAGGGCGCTCGTAGACGGGCCGACCGCTACTCGGCGGCCGCTGTTTTGGCATCCGCGGCACAATGATGGGAGTCTGAACGACACCACATCATTGGACGCCCTGGGCTTGGGCCGCCGCGGGTGATCATAGGGCATCCAAGGGCGCGGCGTAAAAACATGTTCGAGAAGCCTCACTGATCAATGATCATTTGCACCAAGTTTACACCCAATTCTGACGAAGGAGCGGAGGACAATCGATTATTGGGTGATAGTCTACAGGGACCTGACATGAAGATCTGGCCGAATATGTCTCGTGTGACCCATCACCCCCCTACTGGTGGCGTTGGCCGGTCTCGCCAGCAGCGATCCTGAGCTAAACGAGGAGTTCAACAGGTTCTCTCCTCTCTTCAGCCCCACTCAACACAAGGTGATGAGAGTTGAGACCGGCGGCCAACCCCTCTGAGCAGATCCACGTCAACACCAGCATTTCTCTGGTTGACACAAGACTTGCACGAGGCTGTCAACAAGGCTACGCTGGGAACCGGGCTGCAAATGGGCAAGGTGGACCAACGGATGGGCTGGAGCGGGAGCGATGGATGTCATCTGTGTAATTTGTTATTACAATAGCGTTAGATCAAATATCCAGCTGACACTTTTCAGACATTTTGAATAAAAGTATCACAAAATGTAGGCATTGCCATCGCATAATATGCAACAAATATCACGTCTTCATGTAAAGTTGAAGAAAAAATGTGACACGTTCTAGCCAAAGAGAAATATCCCTTTATCTGTGGCGCGGCACAAAACATTTTAATTAATCGCGCAACGCAGGAGCCATTTGCGAGAATTTCAACTGGCATGCAATTGCTTCATGTCTGGGCAAATGAATATGCAAAGGGATGCAACACCAATCTCTCCTGTCGGGATCCCGGCGACACTGAGAAATGACCTCTGCAATCTTAACCAGCACTCGTACAAAGTCGGGCGAGCCGGCCAGGAGCCGCGGCGCCGTGTCCGACGGAGACGCATGTGGCTGGTTTATTGGACGGCCTCCTGTGCGGACTGCGGAGCCACCATCAGTGGAACTTCAGACACTGTCCGATGCCAGCTGCGCCCCTCCACTTCACTGCATTAGTGTTGGCGCCCCGCCGGAGCGGCCTCATCTGTATCCGTGAACACTGGTAACTTAGCCGGCTGAAACATTTCTGTGAACCGTGAACGAGACGGCAGCGAATTCGTCGCGGATATTATAAGAACACGTAACTCGTTTTTCATCTGCACCACCTGAAAGCTATTCGACTTTCGTCATTCATTCCACCTCATTAGAGCAGCACAAACGCGATGACAGCTTATGAATGTTTGAGCGGTTAGATTCAGCCATCGTCCTGAAGATGAGAGAGGAGCATGAGGTCATTTAGCATGAGGTCCTTTAGCATGAGGTCCTTTAGCATGAGGTCCTTTAGCATGAGGTCCTTTAGCATAAGGTCCTTTATCATGAGGTCCTTTCGGTCTAATAAGACCGTTCCAAGCCCATGTGATTAGAACACAGGGGAAGATTTGGGGCCGAGTCGATCACCGACTGGTGCGCCGCTGTCGTTGAGCACATTCTGGGATGTGAGAGTCTCGGTAAGACGGACCACACAGCCATTCAAACACTAACCATGGAGAGGCATGTCTGAGAAAAGAATAGTGTGAGCAGGGATGCGGAATGAGGATGCGTTGGTCCTGAGGATGAAGGGGAGGGATAACCTTCTCCTAATAAGGTGCGCGTGTTATACTGAGGAGTGAGGAATGCTATTACACGTACTGTTGGCAACAATGTTACTCTTGCTGTTTCATATGAACAGTCCCAGTGGGCATTAATATCTGTGCTAAAGTTTCTCGCCATTGTTTTTCTTTGCAAAGAATTCCAATAGTAATGCTCATTACCTCCGTTCCCACCATTTTTCCATCCACAGAGGCTGTTTTGAACCTCGCCAGTCTTTCTAACAGGCAAACAAACGGCACTGTGCGCGGTCGGCATTCAGAACCACCCGGCCAGCGGGGCTCCACTTGAGCGCCAGCCTCGTTTGAAGCCGTACAACGCTCTGGCCCTGCGGATCGTGACTAGAGTACTTACAGAGCTTTAGCGCTAGTTCATAAACGACAGTTTAACTTAAAAACTTAAATATGAACAAGGTCGAAATGTTTTGAGGCATATGCATGGATTATTTTAAACGACACACTCTATTCAATATATGTTGTGGTTGTCCGACGTCCGTGCTATCAGCCTATCACACGTTCAATACAATGCAGTTGGGCAGCATCCCATGTATTTGAGCCCGAGGCTGATGCATACGTAAAGGAATCGTTTCGCCTCCCGGCCGGCTGTTTCCGTGTCCGAACGACCGGCCAATCTGATGATACGGCGCGGCCATGCGGTGCTCGTAAACCAGCGATGCATAAACTTTCGGCAGCGCCAGCGCCGGCGTCACATGGCAACCGAGATGGCTCTTACAGCCCGCACCAGCGCACTAGGCTAGATACGATCCGCTTGGGTCGAGCGGCTGTCCGGGCCGAGCACACTCCCGCGTATCGCTCAGACCGTGTGACGGTCCCCCCGCAGCTCGCAGCTCGAAGACGGACGGCGTCCGCCATGTCGGCGGCGCCGCTCGGCCGTCTGACCATTCCGCCCCATCGGTCGGCTACAGCGACCCGGACTTTCAGCACAGCGGCTCCCTATCGATAACAGTCGTCTGTTTTTGTTCCCAGACCGAGCGGCGGCCGCCGGCGCTGCCGCTGTGGGCCCTGCTGGTCGCCAGTGGCGCCGCCCTGGTGGCCGCCGCCGACACCAGCAGCGACATCTGTCCGGAGAAGTGCAGCTGCTCCGAGCAGGCACCGCGGGCCGTCAGCTGCCGAGGACGCAGTCTGGTGGAGCCACCTGACGGCCTCCCACCGGACACGGCCATCCTCGACATCAGCTCCAATCGTCTGGCCGGCGGTCTGGCCGAGCTCGGCCGTCTGACAGCGCTGCGCCAGCTCCGGCTGGACGACAACCGGCTGCCAGCGGTGCCCCGCGGCGCGCCGCTGCGCCTCCTCTCACAACTGCGGCTCCTGAGCATGACCCGGAACGGCATCCGGACCATGTACGAGGACGCGTTCCGGGGTCTGGTGAGTCTGGAGGAACTGTCTCTGGCGACCAACAAGATCGGTCACATCGAGGACGAGGCATTCTCTGAGCTTCAGTCGCTACGGACCCTCAACCTGAGCGGTAACCAGCTGACCACCGTGTCGCCGGCCTGGTTCCGCCAGCTGGCTAACGTCACCACCCTGGACCTGTCTGGGAACCGACTGCGGCACATGCCGGTCGGCGTGCTGGGCGGCATGGCGGCGCTACGGTGGCTGCTGCTGGCGGAGAACCACATCACCTCACTACACACAGCGTCGCTGCTGGGCCCGCGCAATCTCTCCTCGCTCGACCTGAGAGGAAACCAGCTGACGGCGGCGCCGAGCGCGGCGCTGCGGCGAGCCGCCCACCTGGACACAGTGCGGCTGTCGGACAACCCGTTCGCCAAGCTGCCGGCGGCGTCGTTCGCCGGCCTCTCCGTCCGTGAGCTGGATCTGAGCTCGCTGCCGCGGCTGCAGATCATCGACAGCGGCGCGTTCGTCAACCTGAGCCGTCTGGTGGAGCTGCGTCTGAACGGCAGCGGCGCGCTGAGGTACGTGGCGCCGCGGTTCGTGCGCGGCGCGCCGGCGCTCCGCCGCCTGCTGCTGCACAACACGGGCCTGCTCAGCCTGGCAGCAGAGCTGGCCGAGGAGCTGGCCGAGGAGCTGGCCGCGCCGCTGCAGCTGTCGCTGCACGGGGCGCCGCTCCGCTGCGACTGCGTGCTCGCCTGGCTTCCGGCGGCGCTGGCCTCCGGCTCAGTGACGCTCGCCCAGCCGGAGGGCACACTATGTAAGACACCCGAGCAGCTACGCGGAAGCCGACTGGACACGGTGCCGGCGGCCACGCTGGGAGACAGCTGCGGCCCGACGCTGGTGCCGCTCGGACGGTCCACCGTGCGGCGCGACACCGGCCAGCGACTGACACTCGAGTGCCGCGCCACGGGCCGGCCGGCGCCGCGACTCAGCTGGAGGTCACCGCGGCAGAACACCAGCCGCAGCGGCGGCTCGCTGCTGCTACGCCACGTCACCGAGGCGGACGCCGGCCGGTACTGGTGTGTGGCCGAGAGCAGTCGCGGCACAGCCAACAGGTCCGTCACCGTGCGGGTCCAGGAGGTGGACATCCACCTCTTCCCCACCGGCGTCTCCTCCAAGTTCGTCACGCTGGTCTGGAACGGCACGGCGCGCAACAACTTCCCTCGCTATCAGCTGATGTACGGCCGCGCCGGCGAGGACGAGTCGGACTACGAATCGCGCATCGTCACCCCGTTCCACCGCTCCTACACTATCGGCGGTCTGCAACCGAGCACCAGCTACCAGTTCTGTCTCAGCTACCCGGACCGCGACAGCCGACCGGTGCGCATCTCCTGTACAGACGTCCGCACACGAGACGCCGCGTTCATGACGCGAGGCATCCGCCGAGAGTGGACGGCGGCGGCGGCAGCGGCGGCCGGCGTGGCGGCGCTCGTGCTGGCCGGCCTGACACTGCTGGCGGTGGCGGCACGCCGCTACCGCAGCCGGCTGAGGGAGGAGAACGACAAGGACACTGGCAGCCAGATCCCGCTGGAGAGCTTCTACAGTCCGCTGCTGAGCCAGTCGTCGCCCAGCTGACAGTCACCGGCCGGCGGCGGCCGGCGCTCGGCGCCCTGTTCGCGCCAGTGCACGCCGCGGCCGGCCCACCGCAACAATCGCCGCCAGTCGACGCCGGCCACGGCCTCGGGCCGGCACCTGACGCCGCGCGGCGGCCGCGGCCCGCGCCGGCCGCAGTGCGACTGCGCCAGTCTGCGCGGTACGCCGCTGGCCGGGCGGCGGCCGGCCGACGGAGACGGCTCGGGACCCAGCGGAGCCGCCGCCGGCCCCAGCGGGCCCACACCCACAGAGGCGGTGGTGGAGAAGCCTCCAGAGTCGACAGAGCCAGCGACCAAGGCGGTGACGGCCACGGTGGAGCCGCGCCGCCACTCGGGAGGGGTCGAGCCTCGCCGCCACTCGGGTGGGGCGATGGTAATGCGCACAGACCATTCGGTCACAGAGACAGTGGACATTGAGACGGTGCCAATCATCGAACAAGAGCTCAAGAGCTAGAGCTGCCACAGCGCTGGGTGGCGGACGCGTTCAAACTAAGTGGCGAGCTTCGATGGAGATTGGAAAAACTAAACTTGGGCGGTCTCGGAATACCGGGACAAACGTTCCCGTAATATTCACTATCGCTTCGAAGCGCTAACGCACCAAGTATTAGTGAATTCATGTGCCAAACACTACGCTTACCATTCACTGCACCAGCGCTTTTTAATGCACAAAAGGGGTTGGATGTCTTGTTTGCAGATGTGTTGCTTATGACGTGGAGATGTTATGATGTTGACAGAATATGAGATCTCATTAATACAATTCAACATTAAATGCATCCTTTTCCTCTAACTTTATGCTAGGAGAACAGCTCCTGCCAGACCCCAACAAAGAAATGACACACGAAATGAACCGTGCGACTGATCATGTCAACTGTCGACTCTGCTACTGGCAGACGGCGGTCACAGACCATCTCCCGGCCACCTAAATCTCAGGAACCGTGTGGGAAGCCGCCATCCATCACTGTCCCGTGGGCGCCCCGAATCCGCCAAAGGTCAGCCGGACATAATGTAAATAATGGACATGGCCAAACTCGGTGCTCTAACGTTGTTCGCCCAGATTATTTACGGCTAACCCAATCACAAACTAGTTCGGCAACAAACTGGCGGAACTTCAATTGCAGATTACATCCCACCCAGTTGTCGCCATCAATAACAGAGAATGTAAAAAGAGCATTATCGATTCTTCGGTATATTTATAATGTAATTCCCACACTCCATCTAAAAGTATGAATACTACAGCATTTCATGGGCATACACACTAAAAAAAAAAAAATGGATATACAACAGTGATGATGAGACGTCGACAGCGCATATTACTCCTCACAGAACCGTGTTAGCCCGCAGCTATTTCTAGCAGCCACACACGTCAGTCTGGTCTAGCATCAAGCGAACCTCCAGCTAAAAGACCTCGAATAGGTACGCCACTTGATCGCTCCTAACCAATTCTGACCCCTCAGTATGTTGGACGAATATCGTCTTAACGGGAGCTTCACAACCGCTCAAGCAACCGGACAGCTGGAGACGCATCGCCCCACCTAGCGAACCAATCGTCCCGTCTTGGATACTTGTTTGAGAGTTCGATATCGCACCTTCTGAGTTTGGTGACCGGAAAGACCTACCGACCAAGGGCTATTCGACATCATCCTCAGGTCTCCAATCAAACTCAGGTCACCGCCGGCCACTGTCGGTCTCCTTCGGCACTCCCTTCTCTACTCACCCTGCGGTCGCCGTCCTTTCACCAGGGGCTGAGCGGGCTCACCAGGTCGTCAAACCACGACCGTGTCCGTGGGTCGGCGGGCGGCGGCACGCGTCCGGTCGCGGCGCGGTGCGGCGACGCGTTCTAGCTGTCCGGTATACAGATGGAGCTCAGCACGGCGAAACTGTCCGTGTAGCGGCGCTCGTTGTTGGCGGCGGCGGTGCGCCACTGATCGCGCACCGAGCGCCACCGCGCCAGGTGCCCAGCGAGAATTTGGCTCTTCGGCGGCGCGTCATCCGCCTGGGGGTGAGCAAAACGGTGGGGTTAGATTGAATCAGCACACATCAGCAGGTACCGTGGTATATGGCTACGGCGAAGGAGACAATGCATGGGCAAACCCGGCTTGAAATACGGCGGCACCTAGCAGAACTCAGTTCAAGGTACAGTGCCAACTAACAGAGTGAATAGACCGAAAACAATTAAAGGCCCATGTTCACAAGTTAATCTGAAGATTATGCTAACAAATTCTGCCATCCTCTTATAAGCAGCATGACAAAACTTCGAAATGTCAGCAGCCATCGGCATATCACATTCACTATCAAACTACGTAAACATCCACGCAAACAACCCATTCCAATAACTACCGAAGCTCCTCGTCCCCTGCTACCTGCCGCCATGTCCCCAGTCACCTTGCTGGGCTGCAGCTCGGGCAGCTGGGCGGGGTCGGGCGGCCGCAGTCCTGCAGGCACGCGCAGGTTGGCCGGCTGGCCGTCCTCATCCAGTGGCGGGAAGAGCGGCGGCGGCAGCTGGTACACCAGGTCGCCGTCGGACGGCTCCTCCTTGGGCTCGGCCTTTGGCGGCGGCGCGGCGGCCGTGCCGTTCGGGTCGTTGGCCATCCAGGCGCGGCAGACGGGGTAGAGCGACGAGCCGGCCGGGAACTGCGCCAGGTTCACGCTGCGGTCGAACAGTTTCATCACGTAGGTGTCGGGCAGGTTGCCGGGCGCCGCCGGCTTCCGGCGCCGCCGCTTGGAGCCGCGGCTCGGCGACGATATGTCCCTGGCGAAACGGAGGGAGCAAAAATCAGAGCAGTATTCGCACTAGGATGTGTGGCAGGGCTGCAATGGTTGCACAGACTTAATGGTATACCTAGCTTCCAAAATCTACCACTGATCACAGCAGACTGCTAAGCTAATTATAGTTAGAAATCTGCCTCAAACAACGAAATAACTACACATGAGCTTTGATGCAACTGATTTATGACACATGTGAACAGTAAACTTGACAGAGCCCAACACTGCCACCTACACCAGCCAGCACAGTGTCACTGCCAGCACGGAGCTCACTGGATATCGATCAGGTTGTCCTCCTCCGAGCTGTCCCACTCCGAGCCACGTTTTCGGGAGCCGGCCGCCTGCAGCGCCCCCTGCAGCTGGCCGCGCGCCTCGCTGATCGGGTCCATCGCTCTGGCTCCTGGAGGCACAAACATGTGTGTTGGGAGCCATCGCGAGCCACAGGGGTTGCAGGGCAACAGTCAAACAATGATCCAGAAAAAGGAGTGATGAGGCTAACCACTGATGTCCTGTACCAGTCATCAATGATGACTGGTACAGTGAATGCCATGTGAAAAGTCAAGTGTGTAAAAGTTGGTTTGCTGAAGCAATGCTTTTGAGAACATAAATCTCAGAAGGAACTTCAGCCCACTTGGCCGATTAATCCGATTAATTTGTGATCATCTTTACAAGGTAGCTTTATCCCTTCTACCAAGTGCCAGACCTGTCTTGATGCATGAGAGTAACCCCTGCTGAGCATGCCAGGTGCGAAATAGAGTGGTGTGAAGTTCATCCTATCCTCATGCCATTAAAGGGACCCTCCCACCTTCAAAAAAGTTAATGAATTGGCATGAAAGTGATGTCGCTCGGTTCAGAAAGAGCAAAAACGAATATCTACCAAATTTCATCGAAAAATATTCACCGGTTTTCAAGATATTAGACTTTTACTTTTGTTTACTTTTTGGGATTCCCGCTGTTCCTAGCGACTTTATTTGAAAGTGCGGCATTTGTTGCGCGCAAAGCAGCGTATACCACCACGTGCTACAAAACGTTTTAGTCAAACATTTAACGGACGTTCGAAAGCTTGATGACGTCATCAGATTCCTGTAATGGTTAAGAGATAGGGACCACGCTGGTCCCACCCTGCAAGTAAAGGGAAGAAATTTCTTGAACACCATAAAGCTGCGGGGGTTGCGACCAGGATAAATGGTGGTTTCTGAGCCTGGCCGCAAACTTGGCTATCTCAACTCAAAACTAATGTTAAGGTGGGAGGGTCCCTTTAACTTAGCAATTACCAGGCCCATTGTGCTGAAACTTGTCCTATAGGTAGGTCCCCACCAGGAAATGCACTCCCATGTCTTATGGTTGGGGTACTTATGCAAGTGTGTACACTGTACATGCACAGGCCTTTTCCAGATTTTGGGAGGGTGGCTGGGCTGATTTCCTTCAAATTTGATACATCATTACTCATTAGGGACTGCTGAGTAGCGTGCCAGGCACGTCAGTTAAAACACAGTTTGAGAGTGCACATTCAGGGTGCAGCCTCTACATCACTACATCTCTGCAATCAGCCCAGGAGCAACTGGACTGATTGCACTAAAATTTATTATTTTTAGGAGCCAGTGAGCAGGGTGGCCTGCACAAGTTAGTTTGGGCAACTTGGGGTAGGCACCACTTCACAAGTGAGTATATGCAGGGCTCACTCTTGTGCTTGCTTGTTTGCCACAACCAAAGGCATCTTACCAGTATTATAAAATTATTCAATGAGTAAGCGTCCCAAGATTTGTGGAATAAGGACTTTCCCATGCAACATTGTTTCACAAAATGCCCTTACCTTAGTTGAATATATTTGATATTACTTAAGTAAGTACTTTTAAATCCTTAATCTGGTCCGCTTCTTTATACTAACATATTCAAGGGGGCATTATGTACATCAGGGCAGCCCATATCAACTTTGCAGCACCTGTAAGTGACAAAATGAGTTTCCTTTTAAGTTTTGACTGTGTAAGAGCACAGGTAGTTACTATTTTTGGACTGGTAGAGCAGACACCACACAAAAGTTTTCCAACCAAGGAGAGGTGCTATACCAGTTGGGGAAACTACGAGGAGCCAAACAAAAATTGGATTAGCCAATCAGGGGCTGGCAGGGCTGCGGAGTCGGAGTCAGAGTCGGAGTCGGTCGGAGTCGACAGTTGTGACCGGAGTCGGAGTCGGAGTCGATTTTAGAAGCCCGAGCCGGAGTCGGAGTCGAAGTCACCGAAAATCTGTCGACTCCGCAGCCCTGCTAGGTCTGCGGAGTCGGAGTCGGGAGTTGGAGTCGGTCGGAGTTGACAATTCTGCCCGGAGTCGGAGTCGGAGTCGGAGCTGGTTTTTGAAAGCCGGAGTCGGAGTCAGAGTCGGAGTCGCCGAAAATCCATTGACTCCGCAGCCCTGGCGGCTGGAGTGGGCGGGGCGATGACCATATATGGTCATAAAATCAGACAACTTCATCTTTTCAATGAATTTTAGCATTCATATGAAAAAATAAGGCATAAGAATGTTTTTTAACCACACAAGGCCTACACTCACCCGGTGCATAATTAACTGGCGGCTCTAAATCGCAGACTTACAACGCAAGGTCAAACCGTGATTGGCAAATATGGCGGATTGAAACAGACGCGCCAAAAAATGTACGCAGTAGTTTTTTTTTAAATGTCATTATTTTTATTATTTTGTTGATGGTTTTTCTAATTGTAGTTAAGTTATTATTTTATAATTAAATATTTTTGTTTATTGAAATTAAATTAAATCTTTTAAAAATTTCCTTTCATAAAACCAATCCATTTATTGAATGGCCAGCTGATTGTGACGCCCAGAACCTGCAGAAAAGCCGTTTTCCTATTGCCATTTTCGAGTCAATTCGCCGAATTTAATCATATCACACTAATTCCTAGTGAAAAATGGAAGCCTTTTCTCTCCAATAAGTGGACGCGATATCGCAAGTACCAGCTTGTTATACCGTCTTTCACCCTTAGTAGCGGGGGCTGCATCTATGCCCATATATGGTCATCAAAAGTCCATTTATTGACCAATCCATTTTTTGACATTCGCCTCGTAGTTTCCCCAACTGATACCGGGATGTGCTTCTTAACAAAAACTAAACAAACCTAGCCTAACCTAACCTACAAACCTACAACCTAGTAACCTACAACCTACAAACCTACCCTACAACCTACAATCCTACAGTGCTTCAGCCTCTCCTTGGTTGGAAAGCCTTCAAGTGACGTCTGCTCTACTAATGCCCTACTTTTTTATCAGGAAAACTGTTTTCAACTGCAGGACAATTGATATCATGATAATAGATAAGGGACGAAAATCACACTACAAGTTTTCTTCTGGAAATATCAAATCTATTCTAAAAAAATACAAAATAAATATCAAAAGCTGCAGTTTAGTATGTGGAGTCTTGGATTTCCTTAGTCTACCTGAGCAGGACGCACTCACTGGTTCAAATCCACATTCGATAACCAATTAACAGGGTCACATTGCTTACCAACAATTCAAAATGAATGAGAAAACTTCTTATAGGTATCTTGGAGAAAACAGCACCGAAATCTATTTACCTCTATCTCCTCAACTATAAGCAAACACCGCGCCACATATCCAATTCGGCGCACCATTTGCGCTATTAATGCCTCTTCCAAGATTCCAATAGAACGCCTCTTCATTATATCTGCTTGTTCTTATTACGTCATTTACCTTAGCCAATCAAAATGCTTATTCCCTTGTATTGCGGAGCAGCATACTTGCAGGCGTTTTCACCTCCGCCATCTATTGAGAAGAATGTAAGCGCTGCCCGCTGGTGCTACTTGTGGTTTGCACTGTATGTAAATGGCTTCTGAACTAGGGCCTATATACAAGCATACGCCTTCTGCACGAATCTTGAGACCAACGAGCGACTGTATCAATGCGGCTAATCTCGGGCATTTGTTGTTGCGAGCTGTGCTGGTCGATGAAAGAAGCTGGCCGTCTTGCCCTACCAATGTGACCGTCGCACTATGGTTGGAAACGGCCTCACGGATGGCCGTGGGCAATTTCGGAATATATGTATATTTGGGGTGTCATTCTGTTGGAAATTGATGAAATGTTTTGAATTGGGCAGAAAAAATTATTTAGTTGCGCATTTAGTCTCCATTATTGTACGTGGAATCGGGAGTTTCTGATAGTGGCTTTTTTGGTGCGCCGTCAAAGGTTTAAACAACCGCGCTGGTGATAGCATGTGGAGTACCTCCATGACGTTGTAAAACTGGATTATTATATATCAAAATAATCCTTGTTATGTTGGCTATCGAGTGGAGTGACTCTTTTTCCCATGCGTGTTCAAAATCAGGAACGGCATTGCATTCTGTTTGCAGTGTCACCACAGCAATATTTGCAAAATTACGGTTATGTTTCATTGGACATACAAAAAGTTCTCCATCGACCTCCATTGAGCTTTTTGGCAGAATAAATCTCTGTTCAATTCTGTGTAAGGGGAACGTAAAAGCAGACTGCGCACTTGTGCGCAAAATCGTCCGTGAAGCTTCATCTCCCGAGGCGTACCTACCCGTCGCTTCGTTAGCACCAGGTCGGCTCGTCAGTCTTGCAATCGTTTATCCTTATAAATGATGGTAAGAAGCAGGGTTGCGGAGTCGTGGTGGCGCCAAATACGACTCCGACTACGACTCCGACTCCTGACTCGTTGCCATGACTCCGGCCGACTCTGTCTCCGACTCCGGACCCCTGCCAGTGTTTCGGAGTCGTGAGGGAGCTGTTCCGATTCGGACCGACTCAGACTTCCACTGCGGGCTCCTGACCGACACCGACTCCGACTCCGACTCCTGGCTCGTTGCCACGACTCTGGGCGACTCCGACTCCGACTCCGACTCTGACTCCGACTCTGACTTCGACTCCGCACCCCTCGTAAGAAGTAACTGCTCGCCCCTGCACCTGGAGTATGGATATCGTGCAAACGTACCTATATGGATATCCTGGAGTATGGATATGAATATCCACCGACAGAGCAGACATACAGACATGCTGTAAACGCCATTACACTGCCAATACCATGGCAAATCAAATGGCTATCTATGGTTTTTGATCATCGTTCTACATTTTCCAAAATCTTGAGCTGAATGTTGGCAATTTCTCGTGACTATACTTCACGACCATGATGCATGCATTTCTGAAATTGATCTTTTTTCAACCAGCCACGTACTCGTATGATAAAATGAATGTCACCATCGTGTTCTACGCCCAAAAGTACCCATAAAACATGTGTCATGCATGGGCTGCGAATAGGTACCAGTTTTAATTTTCGGGGTTATATGCTTACCTGATTGACCTGACTTTGAAACTGGCCAGTGGCCTATGTTTGACTGACCCCTACATTGATCTGACACTCTTTTAGCACTTATATGAAGGGTTGTGACAGTTGTGACAGTTGTGACAGATTGTTTAGGACCAACTGATGACTGAATTTATTTAGGACCAACTGATGACGATATAATCGAAACGCGAAACGCGAGGCACCGATTGCGAGGTTCTAAAGTCCATGCTACTGAAAGCCCGATTTCAAGTGTTTGACCTGACCTTGACCCGACCTGTGACCTCGAAATTCAACTTTAAAGTACTCATGTGAATCGTCTCGTCGCGTTCTTCTTTCGTTTGCCGCGCCTCGTGCGTTTCGCTGCGCCTATTTGTTCGCGAGTTATCGGCTGGGGGCGTTGAACGCCCCCCCCCCGGCAAACGGCGGATGGGGAAATACCCCAGCAACTGCCGGATTAATCTGACGCATGTTTTGTCATTTGATCGTTATTTTATTTCTTGCTTTTTTGCCCAATCTAAAAAAAATCATAAATACTCTTTCTCCAAATTTTTTACCCTTTATGACCAATAGTAAGACACTGTGCGTCACTACGTTGATATTTCTCGCCCTAAAGCATAACAACAATATCCATTCAGTAATAGCAGTATTCAAAACATGTTCAAAATGCCTCGCGATATCGATAACATAACGAAAGACATAGGCGACTTATAACATACTTGCAATGATGACGTCACACACGCGTGACGTGACGTGACCTCGTCATTTCTGAGTTACTGTATGATGCACGAAAGACACTGGTATACCTATGCAAAGTTTCATCGCAGTCGGTCTACGCATTAACAAGTTATGGGCAAAACATTTTTTCGCGTTGACCCCCGGCCATCCGTGAGGCCGTTTCCAACCATAGTGCGTCGGTCCGTCTTACCCCATGGGGTGCGGTAAGACGCGTTTTTGTAAGGTTTTGCAAAAATAGCTGCAGTTTAGTTGTTGAATCTGGTCTAAGTCTCATCTTCTGGCAACTATGGAAGTAAAATGTCTGAAAAAAGGTTTTCACTCAGTTTCCCGTTTCTATGATGTTTCTAACCGCCCGAAAACTGGCTCCAAAGTTAAGGTGCCCGTCTTACCCCACTTTCCCCTAGTGCTGGTAAACACTAGCTGGTCTTGAGCGGCTGGCCGATGGGGTCAGTTAGGACTTAGTTTCTTCTCTATGTGTAAAAACGATAAAATATCTTCAATTTCGGACACTGCGGGGCGCGAAAATGCCCTAAACAGAGGGCAGGCACCCCTTTGGCCTGGTTGATGGTTCTGCAAGTGCCAGTCACATATGCATTGTCTGAATACATTTCCATGAACCATGATCATGGTTCAAGATCATGGTTCATGATCATGTTAGCGAGGAAAGACGGTTGGCGCTGGGCGCGCCTCGCCGACGCATATGTATCATCTACTAGTCCCTGTCCTGGTTCTTATGTATGCCCACGTGTTAGTACCACGAGGGCTGGGACGGGACGGGGCCATGTTCTTTACATACCCTGAGCCCAACAGTCTTCGACGCGACTCCGCCGCGCCGGTGCGAGGCCGCGCCGGCGTAGCCGCGTGCGAGGTGGCCGA